GATGGATGACACCTGGCTCATAATTGGAGAATGTGATGGATGACACCCAGCCCAATTGGAGAATCTGGTTTATGAGACACCCGGGGGGAGGGGGAAACAGGGTCACAGGGGACTGTAAATGATGTATGACAGAGTTGGCTTCATCCAGGGCAGTGCCAATATGTCGCCTCTAAAGAATCATTTGAAGTGTTTTGAAGTTGGCTTGAGAATCATGATTTAATTAGGGCAATTGCTGGAATCCTGACAGCAAGTCAACTGTGGCATACTTTTTTTTATGAGAACTACTAAAACAGGCCTACGAATGTTTTATGAGTTGACAATAGGATTTCCTGCTTGAGCAGAGGGATGGACTAGAAGACCTCCAAGGTCCCTTCCAACGCTGTTATTCTCTTGTTCTCTTTTTTTCCTGCAGGATAGCAGAGGTGTTAGCGACACGCAGGAGCCCAGCATGGCCCAGACCGAAGACACCATCGAGACCCCAGCCCTGGGACGACCCTTCCAGCTGGGAATGCTGTACGACTGCCGTAAAGATGCCCTCATCCCAGGTAAAGGAGCTGGAGGAGGAACTGATGGGTGGGCATCCCCTGCAAAAAACTTGGGAGGAAGGCAGGCCATTGGGCACTTCGATTTTCATGTCTCCAAGCTCCTGGGGCAGCAGTTAAACACTACAAAGGCTTCCATGCAAAGTTAGTTTATTGGGTTTTATTAGGCATCCTCAAAGTATAACTCACAGTTATGTTGAGATTCATCTAATGTCCAACCTTTGCCTCAATAGTTGCCTCAATAGTATGAAAAGATGGTGCTCTTCATCCCATAGGGTTATAGCAAAGGAAATCTCCCGTTTGATGCTGGGGTCCAGGAAAGAATGCCCAAAAACTCCCCCAGCCCAACCAGAGATCAAGTCAGTGACCCATCAAGATTACAGATGTGACCATGTGACATGTACTATATCTCCCAAGAGGCTTTAACTACATTCCCCATGAAGCATTCCCTTAAGGGGGCAGCTCTCATTCCTAAACTATGTACTGTCTAACCAGCACATCAATCAATGCATGGTCTCAGCTCAGGACTCCTGGACACACATCCTTCTGGCAGGGGGTTAGCTGGGTAGGACTTCCTCTGTGGGAATGCGTATCCATCCCTTGGCCATGCCCAGAGAAGGTCCAGCCCTCGCTTAGCAAACACAAAATTGAAGACACTAACTTGTTTGGAAAAGGGCTAAAATAAAAGGCAGTTGAGATCCCACCCCATCGCCCCAGAGTTGTGAAGCAAAGGGCATTAATTCCCATACTGTGCTGCTGGGGTCTTTCCTATGGGCAGGTCTGCACCCCGAAGACCCCTCTGTACCCCTGATGAAAAACGGGGTTTCTCCAGGAAGTGGGAGATCTTTCTTGAAATCCATGAGCGCAGAGCAATTCCCGTTCCTCTCTACTCATTCGAAAGCCTCCTGAGATTTTGTGGTATTTTCTCTGGTGGAGAAATGATGTCCCCTAGTTCACTCAGGCTTCTCTATCCAGCTCCAGGTGTTCTGGAGGTCTGGTTTCACGTTTCTTTGCCTGTCTTTTGCTGTTCCACATAGGGATCACCCTTTGGGACTGCAGTTCTCTTCAGAAGGACCTGACCATCAAGCCTCAGCCCAAGACAGAATCTGAAATCCTTACGTCTGACACCATCGATGATAAGGCCTCTGCCTTGGACATCTCAGCCTCCCTCAAGGGCAGTTTCCTTGGGGGGATGATTGACGTAGGAGGGTCAGCCAAGTATCTTCAGGATACCAAGCAGTCCAAGCAACAGGCCAGAGTCACCATTCAGTACAAAACCACCACCAAGTATGAACAGCTGACAATGAGCCACTTAGGAATCCAGAATATCTCTCACCCAACCATCTTCGAACATGGCACAGCCACCCACGTGGTCACCGCCATCCTCTACGGAGCCCAGGCTTTCTTTGTCTTTGACCAAGAAGTATCTTCAACAGAGATGGTGAAAAATATAGAAGGAAACCTCCAGGTTACCCTCACAAAGGAAATATCTATGGGAGGAGAAGCAGAGGTCAAACTAACTGAGGAGGAGAAACAGAATGCTCTGAAGTTCAGGTGCAAATTCCATGGAGACTTTTCCCTGAACAAAAATCCAGTCACTTTCCAAGATGCGATCAAAGTTTATGAAACTCTACCAAAAATGTTAGGGAAAGATGGGGAAAAGGCTGTTCCTATGAGGGTCTGGCTCTACCCTCTGACCAAGCTGGACACCAGAGCAGCCAAGATGGTCCGTGAGATCAGCCTAGCATTGATCTTTGATATGGAAAAGATCTTGGAGGAACTCAATGAAATCCAGATGCAAAGCAACGATCTAGCCAAGAATCGCAAAGATCCAGCCAAGAATCCCATCGCTGAGACCTTTCCTGAGATCAAGAGGAAGATCCAGCAGCTCCAAGATCTGTGCAGGCAACACAGGCAGACTTTCCAGAAACAGCTGGCCAGAGTGTTGCCTTCCATCCGGGGAGGAGGACAGGAGGAAGGGACCCTGGTGGACATTTTAGCATCCGTCAACCGGTCTCCCTTCAACAGCCAAAGTCTCCGTGAATTTCTGGACACCAGGAAAAGAGAGGTGAACTTTGTCAAATCTTATCTGACTATACTAAGTGATATAGAAGTTATCTCATCTCAAAATCAGCTGGAAGAAATAGTTCTAGACCCCCAGAATGTATACGTGGTCTCCTTTATATTCACTTCTTTACATGAAGAGGAGCCATTTCTCTTGAGCTTACAGGACTGGCTTCAGGAGCAATTCTTGCCAGGATCAACTAAGTCAACCAGGTCCACTCCTGGGGTGAAGAAAGGCAAGGCCTGGTTTGAGGACAAGGAGAGGACCCACAATGCTCGCCAAGCTGCCAAATCAATCCAAGACTTTTTCAGTATCAATCAATCCAATGAGAAGATCCGCTTTGTGGTGGCCTCACTCCCTGATGTGGACAACCCAGGAGCCTCGATATACCTTTATGAAGATGGAGATCTTGTCAGTAAAAACTTTGAGTTGCCCTCAAAACCTCTCCCTTTGCTGATCAATGAAGTGAGACACGACAGCATTCAACTGAAGTTTCAGCCAGCTGAATATGGAAAGGCTGCCATCTCCAGCTATATCTTGTGGTACCTGACTGCAGGGGAAGAAAACTGGGCGACCGTGTTGACAGAGGACGCTGAGGAGATGTTCCTGCTGAAAGATCTGTTTCCAAACACAGAGTACCTGTTCCAGTACGCTGCTTGTTGCAAGGTAGGCTTTAGTGAAACCAGTGAGCTGAGCCCACCCATAAAGACTCTTCCCACTAGTCCTCCTGAGAAATTAAGGAAGGTCACTGCGGCATCTTCTGTCATCTCTGTGGCCTGGATGAGTCCCAGTATCATTGCCTTCGGAGTTGTGGTCAAGGAGTACAAGGTGGAATACAGAACGGTGAAGGCTGGAGTTGGGAAGGACCAATGGACTGAAAAAAGGACTGGGAGAAAAACAGGATTTTATTCCATTGAAGGTCTGAAGCCCCAGACAACGTATAGAGTACGGGTGTCGGCCGTGTGTGATAATGGAGCTCTGGGTGTCCCCAGCAAGGAGGTGGAAGTCTCCACATCACTGGAGGAAGAAGATGCAGGCAATGTGGCCCACCAGTTCATTCAGGAAAGCTCCCTGGGGGAGGACGGACAGCTATTAATGTTCGCCCTTCCCCTGAAGGAAACCCCCTTTGTTGGCTCCTCATCCACTATCTTGTACGAGCTTGGACAGGTGAACAATGAAGTGTCCACAAAGATGATCCTGGTGATGGGAGGAACACAGTCTGAGAAAACCGCTCTGTACAACAGGATGGTCAATTATATTCTGGGTGTCCAGTGGGAAGATCAATTCCGGTTCCAATTCCTTCCTCAAACTCCTCTGAGAAGCAAAGCTGAAAGTGAAACACGTGATATCACTGTCTACGGAGTGCACCATCAGGAGGGTTTCCGAATTCCCTACTCAGTCATGATCCTTGACACTGGAGACTTTGGAAACATCACGATGGACAAGAAAGAGGTTGAGGAGCATGTCCAGGATTTCTACTCCTGGGGAAAGAACGTTTCCAAGCCTCAGGCCATCTGCTTTGTGGCCCAGGACTTCCATGACCATTCAGCCCACACCCAGAAATGGATCATGGATTCCATCCTCTCCATGTTGGCAAAAGACGTGGAGAATAACGTCCAACTCCTGATCACTTTTGCAGACGGGGAGACCCCACCTGTCCTGGTGGCCGTGGAGGAAGAGGACTTGCTGGGTGCTCGGGACGAGTCAGGAATCCCTCTGCACTTCCGACCCAACAATTCAGTCCTCTTTGCTGACCAAGAAAATGGAGGAAGCTACAACGCTGCTGCGGAAATGTTTTGGAAAATGAGCATGGAGACCCTGAAGGATTTCTTTGACTCCATGATTACAGAAGAGAAAAGTTCAATCTCCAACGAGCCTCAGGAGCCCGAAGCTGGACTTAGATGTCCACCTTCTCCTAAGATTGAGCAGGTTCAACCAAATCTTTTCCAGATCACTATCGATCCATTGGCCGAAAGATGGGCCTCCCGGTTCCTGGTGGAATTTCAGATTACAGGCAAGGAGGAGTGGCGAAGTCTCCAGACAGAAGGTCCCCAGGAGGCCTTAGAAGATGTGCAGCTAAGTATCCGATGTGCTGCTGGGAACGACCAAGGATTCAGTCACTGGAGCGAGGAGATGACTTGCATTTGTCCCATGAAGACACCTGAAAAGGTAACTTGAGGCCTTCTTTGGTCAATTATGGAGGAGGAGGAGGAGAAGGAGGACGAGGACGAGGAGGAGGAGGATAAAAAATCTAGGGGGTCCCTGATGCTCTCTGAGCTTGGTGGATTTCTAGCAGACATTTCATGACCCAACTAGGTAACATCGTCAATGCTAAGGAAGAGTGGTTATGGAGATGAGGTGGGGGGGAGGAATGTAGCAGGTCCCTGGTGCTCTCTGAGCTTGGTGGTTTCCTTGCAGACATTTCATGACCCAACTAGGTTACATCATCAGTGCTAAGGGAAGGGGTTTGTGGAGAGGAAGAGAGGAGGGAAGGGAAAATCTCTGAGCCCCTGTCCTACTAGCCTTCCCTTCCAGGGGGAGATCTGGCAAAGGCCTTTGGCTAGACAGACACCCAAAGCCAACTCAAGACTTCCCCGCGGTCTTTTCACAATCTTGTTTCTTCTTCTCCAGGAGACTAATCTTCAAGGAGCGGCACAGGCAGAAGATTGACAATATTAAAATCGGGGTAAGATTCATTATTTCAATGTCTTAAAAACATTCCTCAGCCACTTTGGGGCCACAGGATTCGATTTTAGATTCGTGCATTCTTTTCGGAAAAGTCGAGATTCTGACGCTGATATGAAAACAAAAATTAAATAGTTGGTGTCAGGTAATTGTGCCGCTGATGTCCAAATGGAGTCAGAGATGCTGACAGAAACTTGTAGCTTTATACAGGGAGTTTTCAACGTACAACCGCAATTGAGCCCCATTTGTTGTTAAGTGAGACATTTGTAAAGTGAATTTTGCCCCATTTTACAGCAGTGAATCACTGCTGTTGAGTTAGCAACATTGTTGTTAAGTGAATCTGGGTTCCCTGTTGACTTTGCTTGCCAGGTCGCAAAAGGGAATCACATGATCCAGGGACGCAGCAACCATCGTATGTATGAACCAGTTGCCAAACCTTATAATTTTGATCACAGGGATGGTGCATAGGTCATGTGTGAAAAATGGTCATAAGTCACTTTTTTCTGTGTCATTGTAACTTTGAATGGTCACTAAATGAACTGTTGGACTACCTATGTAAATAAATATATTCTACATCTATGTTTACAGCAGACAAGACCGTCAGGCAAACAGGAGCATTGTAAGGTAAATCCTGAGGTAAATCACAGGGCAGAAAAGGGCAGACGGAAGAAAAAGGCAGGAAAAAGAGGAAACTCCCTCTCCGCACCCACAGCAACCAATCACAGTGCAGATTGCCTCAGGCAGAAGCCAGAAGTCACCAACTGATCAACTATAACTGTGTGTTTATGACACACTGCAAGACCCAAAGGGTCCAAATATTGATAATAGATGCTAACACAAACTTGTCGTTTGGTGTAAATAAATATATATATACATACAGTAAAGAAACAGATACATTCATCAACAGAGCAGGAACATCATGAGGTAAATCACAGAGAGCAGACTGAGGAAAAAGGCGGGAAACAGGGAAACTCCCCCTTTGCACTCGCAGCGACCAATTGCAGCTCAGATTCCCTCATGCAGCGGCAAGCTCTCTTTAGCCAATTAGCGACAGGTAGTCCTCAACTTACAAACAGTTCACCTAGTGACCATTCAAAGCTAGGACATCTTTGGGTTCGAGTCTGCTTTGAATCCGAAACAGAGTTTGGGTCGGTGTCTTGTCCAAGTGGTGGGAGTGTGGCATTTAGAGCCAATTCATCAGTTGAAGATCTGAATACTGACCGATGTGGCCATAGATCTGCACCTCTTGTAATCTTGGGGTACCTCCATCAACAATAATACATGACCCAGCGCCTTGTACTGATGGACATGATTTCACCTCCACTTCCCTTCTCCTTCTCCTTCTCCTTCTCCTTCTCCTTCTCCTTCCCCTTCCCCTTCCCTTCCCTTCCTTTCTTCTCCTTCTCCTTCTCCTTTCCCTTCCTTTGTCTTTCCCTCTTCTCTTGCCATTTTGTCTTGTCATCATCTTATCTTACCTTACCTCACCTTATCTTATCATCTTATCTTTCCCTCTTCTCTTCTTTCCCTCTTCCCTTCTTTTTCTCTTCTTCTTCTCCTTCCCTTCTCTTTCCTCTCCTCTTCTCTTTACTTCTTTTTTCTCTTGCCCAACTTCTCTCTCCTCTCCCCCTCTTCTCTTTCCCTCTTCTCTTTCCATCTTGTCTTGTCACCTTATTTTAGCTATCTTATCTCTTATCTAATCTTATCTTATTATCATCTTATCTTACCTTACGTTATCTTATCATCTTATATTATCTTTTCCTCTCCTCTTTTCTTTATAGAGCCTGAGTTCAAAATTGTCCTTGTTGGAAACACCAGAGTTCAGAAAAGTGAAACCGGAAACACGGTCTTGTAAACAAACAGAGCACCCCTCACCCCTTCTGGCACTGATTGTTATATATTTGCATACTTCCCTATGATAGGTTGGTCCGTGGCGGCGGGAGATTTGAAGAGCCGCCATTGGCCACGAACCGCAAGCAGCCGGCTATAAAAAAGGCTGCCGCGGTTTCTCTGCATGCTGTTACTAGAAAGAAAATAAAAAGAGAAAAAGTCAACTGGGTCTCGAGTCTCTTTTCCCACAACACAATACTGGCGACGAAGGTGGGATAGTGAGACAAAGGACCCCAGTTGCACACGTGGCAAAGAGGACCGAGCGAGATGAAATGGCCGGGAACAACTCACCACCCACACCACTCAACCCAGCAACCGAAGACTGGGAATCCTACATCAACCAATTCCTCATGTTCCTAGAAGGGAGCGATCTCCAAGGAGTATCCGAAAATAGGAAGAGAGCCGTTTTCCTCACCCACTGTGGTCCCACAGTATTCAAAATGGCAAAGGCATTGGCAGCACCCAACGATGTAAAGACAATGGCGTGGACGGACCTAGAGAAATTACTGCGAGCCCACTACGCACCACCCGTTTCATGCGTCATCAAAAGGCATGAATTTTATCGGCGTGACCAAAAGGAAGACGACAGCATTGGAGATTTTGTTGCAGCACTAAGAGACATTGGCGGAGCATGCGAATTTCTAAACATGGATGAAGCCATGAGGGACCGCGTGGTCCTCGGATTAAAGGACCTTACACTACAGGGTCGACTACTAACAAGACCTAAGATAACATTGAAGGAGGCAATAGAAGAAGCCAGTGCAGCGGAAGCCACACAGAAATCGACAGCCACCACAGTCCTCCCTCATCTTCTTCCTCCTTTTCCTCCTCCTCTTCCTCCTCCTCTTCCTCCTCCTCCTTTGCCTCCTCCTCCTCCTCCTTCTCCTCCCCCTCCTAAATCCCTTCCTTCTAGCACTGATTACCTAGTTTGGTAATGATATGTCTGCTAGAAAATAGCCAAATTCAGATAGCAGCGAGGACCCCAAAATCCTCCCTCACTCCTTCTCCTCTCTGCAATCCCCCTTCCCTTCTAGCACTAATGCCATTCCCTAGTTGGGTTTTCTCTGCAAGAAAACAACCACACCTTTTGAACACACTCCTTTCAACACTGACCCACAAATACTATTTTCTGTTGATAACAATTACACTTTCTAAGGATTCCTAATGGGTGGGAAGGAAGGAAGGAAGGATGGATGGATACAGGAAGGGAAGGAGGGAAGGAGGAAAGAAGGAAGGAAATGAGAGAAGGAGGGAGGGAGGAAAGAAGGAGGGAGAGGGAGGGAAGGAGGGAGGGAGTAAATAAGGAAGGAAGGAAATGGGAAGGAGGGGGGGAGGAAAGAAGGAAGGAGAAAGGGAGGGGAGGGAGGGAGGAAAGAAGGGAGGAGGGAGGGAAGGAAGGGAGGGAGGGAGTAAATAAGGAAGGAAGGAAGTGAGGGAAGGAGGAAGGGAAGGAAGTGTTAAATATCCCAATAAAAGAGGAACACAGAAAACCACAAACAATAATTCTTACTTTTAAGATTCAGAGGTTTATTTTATGAGCAATTTGGAACATTGAATAGCCATTATAACACGATTATATCAAGAACCCATGGCAATGAGGTCCAGAGACAGTAGCTAACTCCAGCAAGGATAGCTACTCTCAGGGGCCCCAAATTCATCCCAAGATATTCTTTTTCATACTTTTCTGCACGCATTTCACAACTTACTTCCCTGTTCTTTCTTCCTGACCAGACAGTCTCCACCTATACCCGTGTACATCCCCAACCTCTATCCACCAGCTACTTTCCGTTTCCTTATTTCTCACACTTTCGTCCTTCAATGCCCCAATATATTGATCAAACTACATACTTTGCAATGATGGGCTGTCTGCTAAAATAAATAAAATAAATTGTGGAGTCTGCCTGGCAAGAACAAAGAATGCTTATCCACAGGAGATATGCATGGGTAGTAACAATCCTGGCTAATTGGAAAGCTGATAAAAGTAACAAAGAATTAGACAACTTGTAGACCTCAGCTAAAAAGTTAGGAACAGAGATGGCCTGCAGCAAATCAAATGTGTACCGTCTTAGATAACTCCTAGGGCATTCATTAGCCAAGACTTGGGCATAGGGACAGTTAGAGACCAATAGAACAAATTGTAGAATTATTACTAAAATGTTTATTAGTTGAAATTTCTTATTATCTTGCTTTGTCCCACCTTCTCCTTTCGTGAAAATGTATAAAACTTACTCGATCCTTTTGTTCTGGGCTCTCAGCGTTTTGGCCAGGAGCCCCTTTTCCTTGGGTTACTCCAATAAAAAGCAATCCGAAAACCTGCACCTCGTGTCTGGCGTCCATCATTGGCTTCGGCACCAGGCTCAGCCCCGAATTGGGAACAACAGTAAAATCCTGTCTCACAATTAGCAGTGGCTCAGCAGGATTACAAAGAGTCCTGGTACATTTTTACATCATCCTATCTAAAACTTTGGTCCAGATCTCTTTATTCTGGGGCCTGCTGGCACCCAAAAGACATGTGGAATCTGATAGATCAATAGCCTATATTTTTTTCTTCCCACAGAAGGAAGAAAAGGAAGGAAGGAAGGAAAGGAAGGAAGGAAGGAAGGAAGTGTAAAGTTCAGCTAAAACTTAAGATCACGCTGTGCCAAAAAGGAACTTAAGCAGAGGCTTTGAAGAACAAAATCTAACTTTTATTGATCAATAGAAGGGTAAGACCTCTCCTCTCATATATACAGATATGTGAGGAAAGTTACAAAGCATATAGGCGAAAGTAACTCTTCTTATACCTTAAGATTCTTTTAGAAGTAGAGTAACTGCATTGTAAAACACTCTAAGTTAGATTTACATCTTTCCTGCAACAAGACAAACTTGTTTTTCTTTCAGTATCCTTTCTCCTATTGCCTGTTAATCGATCACAATTGACCATTTAAGAGGGCTATTAACAGCATACTTCAAAAGGTGTCTATTGCTCCAGATGTAGGGAGTGACATTCCCAGGGAGTACGTTCCACTCAGATGGATTTAGATGGGATAATCATGTGTCTTCATATGAGCGAGATGTAACTAATTGCAGGCTAGTTTTACAACACAGAGAAATATTAGAGAAATATTTTCCATAACAACAAGATAAGAAATGCCTATAGAGATAAATACTTCTACATACATAGGAAAACAACTGCCTAACATCAAGATAAGACATGCTTATAGAGTAACTCTCTACTCTTTCTATAATATTTTTTATTTCTTTATTTATTACCCTTATTTAATTTATTACCCTAACATTCCCCCGTTTTGTTTTAAAGGATAGATTTCTTTCTATCCTGATGAATGAGGAAAGATAAAGGCATTGATAAGAGGCAACAGAAAAAGATTCCTTGAATGGCTCCCAAAAGCTTTCAGCCATGAAGGTCTAGCAGTCAGGGAAAAAAGTTCTGGAAAAAAATTTTTTTATAGCATCCAATTTACAGTATCCAATTTTCCATGACAATTATTGTCAGATGTTTATATCACTGTCTGTGAGTTTCCAAACAGGTGTTACACAAGCACAAACCCCCAAAATTCTTCACAGCCATGTTTCTTCTTGAAATTACAGGCTGCCCAATTTCAAAGGATCATTACTGTACCTGTCCTAATAACTCTTAGTCATTGTGCAATCCAGGCTGTTTAGTAGTTTGATTTATTTATTTATTTTACACACAACGAGCCCTCAGACTTCTACTCATGAGGCCACCAGTGCAACATCTGGGCAACTGGGCAGCATCCTTTGTGAGTTATAGTCAGGGCTTTGGATTTGGAGATCATTTTTTCTGCTGTCTCTTCAAGTGAGGGAATTGCCCCTCCCCCCATGGAGACCTGACTTCTTGTGCCTTAGTGGTACAGAGCAAAAATCAACCTAGGAGCAGCTTCGTGTGGAGGTACTAGGAGAAACTTTGCCTAATTCTTAATGGTGTATGTGTCTCTCTCTCTATATGTGTGTATGTGTATGCAGCTACCTTTCAATACAAACTTGCTGGACAAATTTCCCATCCATCAGACAGAAGCCCAAAGTGTTCAAGACCAAGGTGTGGCAACCACTCTCAAATACACAATCCTTACATGAGTACATTAAACTGGTTACACTATAAATGAGACCACAAAGCAAACATTGCAATGAATTTCCACCCTCTCCCCATAATCTTTCCAGCTGTCTTTTGGGAATTGAAAAAGGGTCTTTTACTGGTCCATCAGCTTCACTTGGGATCTTCAGCTGGAACATAAGCTGACACTCAGGCAGGAAAAATCAAAAAGTTGGTCCTCCTGCAATGAGAAAAGTCACAAACAAAGTCTATTCATACCACCATGACCACATCAGCTTTTGGTAATTTTTATTCTCAGCTGGTCTTCTCCAGGAAACACTTTCCATTCTTTTAAGTTCATCAACTGGGGTCCACCCTTTGTCTTTTGGTCAGACTGCTGCTTCAGTGGTCAGCAAGATTTGGTAGGACCTGTCCAGGCTTTCATCAGGACCCAATCCCCAGGCTGGAACTTATGGACAGCAAATTCGAGAGTAGGGTTTGACCTAGAAGTCCTTTGCTTCTGAAGTGAGATAAAGAAGAGTAGAGGCCAAGTATACAGTTCTTTACAGATATATCTTTAGTTTAACACTCTGTGATTTCCCTCATTCTGTTCAAGTGTAGTAGCCCAAACATCATTTCAGAAGGTAAAGTATCCCTTTTTTGGACAGGTTCAAATTCAGAGCCAGGCCAAAGGTAAACAGTTGGTCCATGGCATAGATGAATTTGCATTCCACAAGACGTGATATTCCCACCAAATTCCCACACTCCATGATTGATTGAAGCTTTTTTGCAGAAAAATGAGTTGTTGTCTATAGCTCCTACTATCCCATATGTAGCTATTATCTGCTCCAGTATAATTTTGGCTCTCATGGCTGGATAAGCTTCAACCCATCCAGTCAAGTGATCCACTATCTTAAAAAATAATAATTAAATCTTCCCACTTTTAGCCATTCCCCCAAGGGAATATAATTTAAATCAAGTCTAACCCTAGGCTATAATATAAGTACCCCAACACAATAATGTTCAAAATCCAAATCCCACTATAAATATATATTTATCCTTGACAGGCAGGGTCTAGCATTTTAGAGAAAAATGCCA